AAAATAAACAAAGAGCAGCAGGGGGACCGTCTCACAAGCATCGTTGACGGTCCAACGAAGAGGACCATGCTTGTGACTGATATGGATCAAGGACGCTTGATCCACGGACCTGATCAACCGTGTGTACCTGCTACAAGTCTCACCTTTCCAATGTTTGAGTCATTAGTTTGAGCAAATAATCCTCGAGACCACAATAAACTTTTGCTGATTGTGCATCTAATTAAAATTGTCATTGCAGCTTGGAAGTTTCAAGAGATCCCCATGAGTGTAAAATTAAATCTTGAATAGAGTAATGATCAGGAAGGTCTGCGATTGAAGATAAGAAGAGAAGAAAAGACAAGGAAAACAACAAACCGGCACAGACCGGCAATGTGTGTGTGTGTGTGTGTTTGTGTGTGTCTGTGTGTGTGTGTGCTTGTGTTATCAATACTCCACCCTTCAAATCCTGTTTCATAGCTAGGCAGGAGCCGCAAAGGCATGTGTCAGCAACTTGACCTCCGCCTTGTCAAAGCCAGACGCTTGATGCCGCCAGCCGGACCCCGGGCCCCGGGTGCTCTGAAACGCCCAGTCTCTAAAGCCCTGCACCCCGACTGTCCACTGAGGTTGCACTGAATGTGCGAGCCTACACCGAGGCAGTCAATGTGTGTTCGAGCCGAGCTCAGACGATCAGACCGTGCCAAAATTTCAGCAATCCTGAGTTTGGGGTTGCCGGCTTGTTGACCTGGGCAACCTGACCCCTTCACTAAGCATGTAAACAAGCGTAAACGCTGGTTCCTCGACCTCTGCCTCCCAAACCCAAAGCCCTGCACCAAGCACTTGGTCCACACGTTTGCACAACACCAACATTCGGAACAGCAACCAAAGACCCCGAGAGCCCAGCCTCAACTTTACGCTTGAGCAGGTGCACAAACACAATAAGCAGTGTGCAAGAATGGGTGACTGTCAGGATTCGAGCCCATCGGGTTTGTTTGAGGGAGTAGTCGGGAGTAGTGTCGAAGACACAGTTTTCATGGATCGTCAGGGTGCAGGCCCGAGGCTCGGGCAGGAACCGTAGCTCATTGCCCGAAGCCAGGGTTTAAAGTTCTAGGGCCCTAGGGTTTAGGCTTGTTCCAATGGTAGCACATGGACGAGGCAGGCTGCAAAATGGGAAGCCGCCTTGCTGACCTACTCATCGCTGCCCGCTTTGTTTTATTGCAGTTTTGGCATTGGGGGCTTAATGTTTTGCTCGTGAGCTGGCAGTATAATTAGACTTGAAATCTTCGGAGGCGGGGGGCGCAAGGCGAGGTGAAGATAATGCTGGATAGCTGCAGCCTGCTCAAGAAGTAGCCTAGGGCCTAGGGGAAGCTGACACAAACAGCACATGCATACATCGCTTGCATTCGCGGATTATCGAGGCGAGGTTTCGTCAGCGTTGCATGGCAGACCTGGGTGTAGGGACTCAGTAAATTCAGTAAATGTATGTTTTAAAGTCTAGCTTTGTTTTGTGGCTTTGGGCTTCCAGAAATGATTTCCGGACGTTGGGGGTTCAGGAATCTGAGATGTGTTTTGTTTATCCTGTTTCGAGTTGCCGACAGTTGGGCGCCATTGGTTCGGAAGTGATTGTTCATTGGTGTGAGCCTGGAGCTTGCATGCATGCTGAATTACCCACGTCTCCAGCCACTGACGCTGCATGCACCGCGACATACGGCCCTTCGAGTGCATCTTCGCTGCCACGCTGCCCTGGAAAAACCAGGTTCGAAGTACGGCTCCCATAGCTTCGAAAGTCGAACCACTGCACGACCCCAAGATGCACCAGGTGATCTACAAAACCGTACGGACGCCGTTACAACCCCAAATGCAGAGCCCCGATGCCAGAGAATCCGATCCGAGGCTTGTGCGCGACAGCCTCATACCCGACGTCGCAGCCCAAAGTCACAATGCAAGGAGCAGCTTGAAGTAATTACATTCACATGTAAGAGGTACTGTCACGCTGTATCCATAAAGGGGACAGCGGGGGATCCTGTCGGATGTTGCTGACAATGAAGCTTGCTACTGACACCTACAAGCAGGAGAATGAGATGAGCACGAGTGGCTTGAGGCTTCCGGGTTTGGCAAAGCTTTACTCGCTGCACTGAAACCGCTGATCCTCCAAACACCGGAGCCGGAAGGCCTGTACGCAAGGGATGGTCCGTAATCTCCTGTAGTCGATATCCTGTGGTGACTTTCATTGCTCGACAAGTGGGGCGAGCTCAAACCGGAAGCGAAACTGAGTTCAAGACTCATGGAGAAGTGAAATTGTTGCTGCAGCTAACTGGTGCACGTTTTGGAGGCTTCGATTCCCCCAAAAGTGCTCAGCCTAAGACATGAATCAACATGACGAGAAAGCCGGCAGATGTGCAGATACCCATCGTCATTTCTTGGCCGGACCGTAGGCTTGGCAATTGTAAAGCGGCTGTCGACAGTGACACTGCAACACGTCAAGCTCACATGCAGAGTTTGAGGTTGATCCCAGGCTACAGGGGCTTTTGTGCCTGGCGAAGATGGTGGGTGCATGTCTCTTCTCAGGCCAGGGCGCTCAACTCTGTCATGGCCGCATGCGCTCGAGGTAGGGTTTGGCTTGCAGCATTTCTGGTGCAGCTTCCTTGTTTGTCTTGACCTGGTGTCTCAGAAAGAACATCGAACCATAATCCCCAAACCCTGTGTGCTCGAAGCTCCCACAGAGGCAGTGTAGCCAGCGACAGGTAGTGAGATGCTATCAAGCGATTGAAGAAGCCATCGATCTTTGCATCGCTTGTAGTGTCAGAGCAAGAACTTACATCCCCGGAGGACTGCTTGTAGCTATTTCCGCGCATGCCTTACATTGCCTTACCAGGGTCGCCGGCTTCATACTCGTAAACCATCTTAAATCCTGATCCAGTGCAGGGCTATATCTACGACACCATACCTCTAGGATCTCCATGTAAGATCCAGCCAACAACTTTCATAACTCCGATGTTGGACCTGGAATCTCGGCAGGCAGCGCATGGCCCATGGCACTCTGGTTCCTGCAGGCACGCTCGGCTCAGAGGCCAGGGGTCTTGCGCAAAATTGCGAGTCGTCTCTCTGTCTTGGGTGCGAGAGGACAAGCTGATAAAAAACATGTGGAATCGCGATTTGTGGCTGGAACGCCAGGGTCTACGCCTTGTGCTGTAATTGCAGCACATTTTATCCAGCACGTCTGCAGCAGTGTGGTTTGTGGTTGTCTGCCATCCACAGGAACTTGCAGTCCTCAGCAGTCTTCAGTCTTCCATCGTCTTCATTCACACAGATATGTGTTGCATCAGCTTGCGCAGGGTGAGAGTCGTAGAAGCACTTCGCCGACGAATGTTTTATGCAGTTTCATGTATAGGGCAAGCTTCATGTTGGAGAGGTTGTAGGATGCAGGCTTTTTGCCTTGTTGTGCCTTGTACCGCACTGTAGCCTCAGCGAGTTCATGCGGTGGGGCCAAATCACCGGCGGACAAGCATTTCAATCGTACATCTTCAGACCGTGCAGTTGCATTAACCCTCCGCCGACTCCAAAGCCGAAAGACGCAAGTCCCGAACCGGACCGCTGTTAGTGCTGAGCTCCAACTCCGAACTCTGATCCCCAAACCGCCCTACACCCCAGTAGCAGACTTTGTCAATGTGTGGCTGTCCCGTGTTTCAGGATCTCATCGTCATCGAGTGAAGTCGGCGCCACTCTGCCATATTTAATTTAAGGCCTCAGCAAACCGTACTATCCAGGTCTGTACCCTTGAAGTCAGCTGCCTTCATCCCGGCATTATGTTGTTTGTTGTTTACGAAATAGCCGTGTTGCCCGAGTGTTGATTTAATGTGGGTATATACATATACACATATGTAAACAATATATAGATCTAGATATAAGTTTATGCATAGGTATAAAGTATAGACATAAATACATACATAGATACACATATATATATATATATACAGAGGTATCCCAGAGTTTTCAGATCGTATTCTACTGAGACTGAGACAATAATCAGCAGACTTAAAATCACCGGAAAGTGTTTTAGCAGTACTGCAGCAGTCGACAGGAGCCTGTCGACTCGCACAAATCAAACTGCTTTCCGCCCGTACCACACGCCACTACGCTCTGAGTCCCCGCAGGCACACAACAGCATGAACAGGGTCTGAACCCCAGTCCAGGGTGGAAGCTAGCATGAACAAGATGCTGACCCACAACCCTGAACCTAGCTTTTCGGACGGACTGCGATGCTGCACAAATGCGCAGGAGTCTAGGCGCGCTGATAAGCCGTCATTCCAAATGCTTCGGAATTCCTGTGCGAGCAAAGCATCCTACACGGCAGCCGGAGTTCTTGCGATGCTCGTCGTGAGGTTCTAATCCAGCGTAGCGCAAACTCGAGTTGTTGACTGTCAGGATGAGATCAGCTACACTTCGGCGATCGATGCATGTGCGAAAGGCAGGTCGCGACGCTTGTACACAGCACCCAGAAAGGCTGAAGCCAGCCCACTGCACGCTGCAATCACCCAACACATCATCTGCGCAAGGGCACGAAACCCCTGCGGTTGGATACTGACTGAACAGGTCCACCTTACTCCCTGAAACTTGTTTAGGATTTTTCCAGTACCCCCAGTCTGCAGTGCCTAAGTGGGGTTGGCCATCACTCAAGCGCTGCCCCGGGCTGGCTCCAATTTGCAGGCTTTCGGCTTACTTGAAGACGAAGCGCCGGAACTTCGTATTTCCCGGATTGTATCTCGAGAATTTCGGAACCTCCTGCCTTGGATTGCTTTACATTGGTTGAACCCGTTGAAGCTCATCCCTCCAGTCCTGTGTTGGAGAATGAATCGACTGAATGAACACTCAGGCCGACCTGGACCCGCCCCGCCCAACACTTTCAGGTGGATAGATGCGTAGACTCGTACAGACCCTGGAAATCCGAAGTTGCAACGCAGGCAGCGAGTGGGTGCGAGCTTTCGCCCTTTTCGCGCAGATGCTGAGACAAAGGTGCCTGCAGATGGGCCCACGAAGGGAGAATTGGCGTTCGAGCTTTGCGGCGTTAGGGTTGAGAGGTCAGTGTTTCGGAGTTCTGGGGTTCCAAGATGGTAGTGCTCAATTGTGTCTCGGATATCGGGATGGGGTCCGCAGTGCTGCAAAACAGAAGGACGCAACCACACCAACAGGCGGTCCAGAAGCACCCTTGAGTGCAAAGATTTTCGTTTACAGCGGAGCCAGCAAAGGTTAAATCAACACTGGATTAAATCGATTAAGGAACCAAAGAGTGCTGTAGAGATTCTGGATGATAACACCCGTGCATGCTTGGAATTTGACGCTTCGTTTCGACAGGATCCCAGCTACTGCCGTAAGCTTCAATGCAACGATTAGCGCGGCGGCAGAAGGCGCTCAATCTGACTCTAGCCCAAAGCCCGACGAAGCCATGCTAGAGAGCAAGAAACTCTGGGGGCCATTGCTGAGATCTTCCGTGTATCTGGTAAGGTGTCAAAGATGTCCGTGTTCTGAGGCTGCTCGTTGCTTTTGATTCCAGTTGATGTGCTATGTCAGTCCGGCGGAATATGGGGACACCGGGTACACCTTATAGAAATTTGGATGCTCCATGCGACGAAATGAGCTTCAGTAGGGGAGGTCCAGTGTCTGAGCTGTGCGTGGCAATCATGGACGTTGCAGACAACAGCTAATGCTAACCCTGGTATAGGACTGGTATACGAATAAGTCTACCAGCAGCTACTAGCAGTAGTAGTGTCAAAGATGCCCCCCCCCCCCCCCCCCC